CCAACACCAAAGAACGATGGGTGTGTGGGAATGAAGAAGAAGAAAAATTGCCAGCAATATCATAGACTGAGATGATTTCCATTTCGACTGAGGCATCCACTACTTTTAGAGACACCTGTTTTCAAGGAAGAAAATGTGTAGAATGTCACTGGGTGGATGCTCATCATGACCTAGCTCTTTTCAAGCTATTATATGTTGCTGCAGGATCCTATGTTTCAAATGGCCATTTCCCTGCTTAGACTTCATAAGTTCAGGTTTTTCTACCTGCCTTTTCTGTAGCAGGAGTGGAAAATGTCCAGAAGTACAGAGGCCAGCACAACCCATTGCAGACTCCAGCGGGCCACTCCTGCACCTAGTCCCTGAAACTCCCTCATACCTCCAAATAAAACATGTTCAAAAAGGCCAATGGTGCACCTAGGGGCCAATTTCACCATGTTGGGACCTTTTAGCTTGTTTTAGCATGAGAGGAAACCTCTTTTCAGAAATGGAAGTGGCTTCTGGTTTAAAACTCCCTTGCCTAAAACAGACTTGAGGAGAGAACATGGTGGCAGTGACTCCTCTACATCAAGGAGGGCATTAAGTGTTTTTTTTCCTCATTGTTGTTTTTTATTTTGGAGTGGAGAGGTAGCTCCGGTGCATGTAAGCTGCACTTTGCCAACCTATTTTAGATTACTGTATCTACATTGTATTTTTTTTATTTTTTGATTTGATTCTGCTTAATTTGATTTTTATATCTGTCACTGATAGTTGTAATTCAACAATGTCTTATACTTTTGTGTCTTTTTGTGTGTGTGTAAACCACTCAGAGTGACCTTGTAGCCAAATGAGTGGAATAGAAGTCAAACATACAAATAAATAAAATAAATAGTTCTCTACTTTTGCTAGTGGTGGGTAAGAGAGATGCAAATAATTCTAGGGACTGTCAACTTGGATCAAAATATTTTCATTCTTCTGACTTTAAGCAGCAGCTAAGAATCCTAGAAAGTGTATACAATTGATACCCAAAGAAGAGAATTTTTGAGCACAAGATGGACCAAAGAATGTCTTGAGGTATTAGGAGAAGGGTTTATTTAGACCGAAGTTTTATCATACTTAGAATAAGTTCATAGTAATTATTAGCATGAATTTGTGGCAAACATAAGTACAATTTACCAGGTCCCCAAACAATTTCGACAGGTCTTGCCAAATGAAGACCAAGTTGACTTGAAGGCCAGCAATTGAGAACATTCAGGGGCATAATCTGAGCCTCTTTCTTTGGCAGTTCCTAAACTGCCTGAGATCTCAGAAGACCTAGCTAGATATTCTTGAGTGAATTAGAGAAATTTGTGGCAAATCAGACTGTTATTTTTTTTAAGTTCTTCCAACTGAGATAATGGAATTATCAATTAACAGTCCCTGAATTTAAATGCAAAGGCTACATTGGTCTTTGTGCCTGATTGAAACAATGTTTTTTGCTATCTTAGTTCTGTCCTGGTTTCTGTATATTTTGACATACTGTATATCCTACATACGCTCAGTGCATATTCTAAATTCAGCTCAATCAGTTTTTAGTGTGTCCAACTTAAAGCCTTTCATTAGAAGGGTATTGTTTGGCAGCTTGTAACACAGATTGGGAGTTTTATACCACTCTGCTATTGAAAGCCATTCAGCAGCAAGATATGGATGAAATTGGAATTGACCACAGCATAGCATGCTGCTCCCACCTTGCCTAAATGATACATATGTTAAGATTACACAGCTTTTAACAATTGCATTTTTCCAGTGAGCTTGTGTGAACAAAAAAGCTCTCAATAGAACATGTTACAATGAAGTTTTGTAATTACTGATCCATTTACAGTTGTGCCTCACTTTATGATTGCTCCGCATTATGACAAAACCGCATTACGACGATCTTTTTGTGATCGCAATTGCAATCACAAAACAATGGTCTGAATAGGGGGTTGCCGCTTTGCGATGATTGGTTCCCTGCTTCAGGAACCGATTCTTCGCGAAACGACGGTTTTCGGACAGCTGATTGGTGGTTTCAAAATGGCTACCGGGTAAATAAAATGGCTCCCCACTGTTTTCTGGGATGGATTCCTCGCTGCACAGGCACTGAAAATGGCCACGCTATGGAGGATCTTCGCTGGACGGTGAGTTTCCAGCCCACTGGAACGCATTGAAGGGGTTTCAGTGCGTTTCAATGGGCTTTTTATTTTTGCATTATGACGTTTTCGTTCTACAGCGATTTCGCTGGAATGAATTAACCTTGTAATGCAAGGCACCACTGTATATCAATCAGTGGCTGGAATCTAGAGCAGGCCCACTATAAGTTACTGGAATGTAAGCTATTTGTTATGCAGGAAAGTTAAATGCAATATGACACGCTGGGAAGAAACTTTTTTTCCTGCCTCCTTTTGCCCACTCTGTTCATTTGTGTTTGTTTGTTTGTTTTTTAATTGGAGGAATGTTGGCTTTAAATCCAATTCCATTTTATGTATGTATTTATTTATGGTCTAATCTCCTGAGGGAAAAATATGAAATCGTTCCATTTGTGGTTGAACTTATCTCAAAATGGCACAAATAAAGCTCTCTTTGCTGGTGAATTTTTGCTTTGGAAAGAGAAGTTGCATTTACAAAGAAAATGAAAAATCATGAAAAGAATAATAAAAAACAGCTTCTGAGACAGAAAGCTGTTGTTGCGTACCCAGGCACAAAGGGCCAAGGAACTGGTATGGTCTTGAATATATTGACTTTAGAAAAAAGAGAAAACATGCAAAGAAATAAACATAAAATTCCCAGAAAAACAGCTTTGAGTAAATGTTCAAAGCATTAAGTGCCTAGCAATTATAAACACTGATGAAAACCAGTGGGATTTTAAGGTACTAAATGCTGGTAACATACTTTGAAAACGCTGCTTAGACTGTTGCTAACATTGCTACTTTTAAAACTGCCTTATCAGTGCAAAACCTCATTCAATTAACAAGATGTTGTGCTTGGCAAGCCTTCTAAATATTGCAGGCTCCAACCATTTCTCACTGTGAACAAGAGTTAAATTTATAAAAGTTTAAATTGTACCCAACAGGAGGTAAAATGGAATGCTACGTGTCTGCAAGATCAAGGGCATTTACACATTTTGACAGTGGAAAATATCCTGCCCAACTCTTATCTCTAGTACGAGGAGGCCAATAAAATAAAACCAATTTGAAGATAGAAAATGGCTATGAAACTGGCTCTAGGGCTTATGCTTCATTTGTGTTTAATGAGGCCTTGATTTTTACTTTACTCTAGAATCTAAGGCTGCAGAGAAGAGGAAAAGCTTCAGGCTTGCTCCCTGATCTTCTCCCAGTGGTTGGATGCATGTTCAAATATCCTGCAGCTGTTTAGGTGAAACAAACAAACAAAAAAAGAGAACCCATACCTGTTCTCATCTACTGAAATATACAGTATTGTCATGATTCCTCATCCATTAAAATGGGGAAATTGCTTATTAAGTGCTTTGCCAAAAGTCATGTGATCCTTAATAGCTGGGTTCAATAAATTAGTCTGTCTCCAACTTCATGAAAGGAAGTCTGTGTGTGTGTGTGTGTGTGTGTGTGTGTGTGTGTGTGTGTGTGTGTGTGTGTGTGTGTGTGTGTAAATGGCACAAATAACATTTAAATATTGAATTCCCATCCTTTAGAAAGACTGTGCTGTTTCAGCCTGCTTGATTCTTGTAGAATTTTGCCATCTTTACATTCTGTTACAATATTTTTGTATTCGTTTGTTTTATTTTTGTTGTTTAAATAACATTTATATTAATCTGCACTACTCTAGAAATGGATGAAAGGCAGTTTATAATTTGTTTCAATCCACAAGTAAATAAATAAGTATTTCACAATTTGTGGCACCTCTGGAAGATATTCACTGAACAGCTCAGGGAAGTAAATGTAAACACAGCATATGTGACTTGCTAATATGCTATGTATGATTAATCATAATGTGTTGCATTTATGAATTTGTGTTTAAATGTTTAGCAAGCAAACTGGTTTAATCGTTAACCCATAAATCTCTGTATTAAACCAAGATACAGAGTTTCATCTCATTAATAAACATAGCTGTAGACAGCTATGTTTGTTTTCAGATATGGTGAGTAGCAGATTTTTATTCTTAGTGTATTATATTGTCCTAGTAAAGATACTGGAGGACATTAGGAAAGCATTCAAAAGCTGCACAATAAGTATTAGCCAATATTTGTCCCAACTCCAGCTGTTGCTATGCAAAAAAAAGAAAGAAAAAGAAAAAGAACAGTGCATCTTCCCTCTATCCCACTAAATATGTATTCCCCGACAGAATTAGCTGATGAAAATACAGAGATCTATTCATAGTGTTGGAACAGAGAGGAAAAACTCCTACTTTTCAGTTACTCTTCTACAAACATGTATTACAAAGAGGTAGATAAATGGGATATTTCTGACATTTCCTCAGAAGTGCATTTAGAACATGGAGTGATGAATTTTTGGTTTTATGCTGCTGTCAAAACAAAGCTTTGTCAAAGCTGCTCTTTCAGAGCATTAAATACTTGTAGAACAAGAGAATTTTACTATGAGACTTTTAAATACACTCCTCAACTGAAAGACTGCAGGTCGGCATTCAATGCAAGAAATAATCCAGCGTGCACAGCAGCATTTGAAAAGGGAATGTTGAAATACTGTTTTTATTATCATAAAGGATGTACTATGTTCTCTTAGTGAATGTACTATATTTGATCAGCCAGTATTTTTTTAAAAGTAAAGTGGATGTTAATTAATTGGAGTAATCAGAAATTCCCATGATATGGTCATTTTGCATTCACTGCATTTCAGTGTTTCAGGGATTTAACTGTGTAATAATTTTTTCTTATATTTGTTATGTTTTTTTAATGTTGTAAGCTGCCTAGAGTGGTCACAATGACCAGATAGGCAGGGTATAAATAGAATAAATAAATAAATAAAATAAATAAAAAGATTTGTGTTCAAACTTATCTTCCTTTTTCTGTATAGTTTCAGAACAAGAACATGCACATCTCTTGGCCACAGTTCTGCAACTCACTTATGTCCAAAAAAGTGCCAGGGCTGGCTCTGGGTAGAGAAGATTCAAAAGAGGTAGGGTCTAACTTTGAAAGTCTGCTGATTGGAGAAGTAAGTCTGTTGCCTCTGAACTATCTGGTTCCATTCTTAGTTTTATTAAATCTAATAATCAATGATTGATAGATCCATTTTTTATGATGTTATCTAACCTTTTAAAAAACTTTCTATAGTAGTGGCCATCACAATATCCTATGATGATGAATCCCACAAGTTAATTATTCTCTCCACAGAAAGACTGAATTCCTGATCAGTAACTCTGCTTGTCAAGTGAAGGGAGAGAATATCAGTTTTTTCCATTCCCTTATCACTGATGGCATTGGGTTTGCTGAAGGAGCTGGAAGGCTGGGTTTCTGCAGAGATTTCAATAGCCTTTAATTATATAGTCAAAAGTCCAATTAGTAATGGTTTTTCTCATTTTGTTCCAAGTACTATTGCTATAATCAAAATATAGGCTGGAAGTATTTGGCATGTCTGTCTTAAACTGAAACTTTGGAGCAAGTTGCCCCTTTAACAGAATACCATCTGCTGATAATTTATTGCTAATACAGTACATTTTACAATACTTTAAAATGATTTATTAAGGCAAAGTCCGCTGAGTAAGGGAAGAAATAGCTGCTGCCCTGTTTTGTGTGCTGGGCTATCCTGTATCAACATAGCTGAACTAAAAGGGCTGTGTAGATCAGAAAAATCAGAAACATCTACCGTGCTCACACAGGTCTAATTTCATCCTCTCATATCCTACCATGAGTATTGTTATGCAGAAATTTGTTGTTATTCTTTTCATCCAGAACAACATAATGTGATCCAGGTCAGGACAAGCTAACATTCAAGTTCAGAAAAAAGCAAGTATAGCATTCTGGGAGACTACACTCTTTATTATAAACATTAGTAGTTTTCCAGTTGTAAAATAATCCAATACATCTCTTGACAAGAATGGCACTCAAGGGTATTAAAGATACAGCATAAAATCATGGAATAAGAGCAGCCGGTCTATCCAGAGGAAACCACTGTCTTACCACATTGAGGGCTTCTCATGCTAACATTTAGAAATCAGTGTAGCAATTCTCTCTTTTTTCTCTTTTATGGATTTTCCAGAGTGAGAAAAAATGGGGGAAATGGTAGAAAGTCAGAAGAAGATTAGAAGACAATGTCTTCTGAAGCTCCTAGAAAATTCTGTAAATGAGGTGAAGCAATAATATGATAAAAGCATTACCTGATACTACTATAGAAGATTTTTCACATTGGAAAATATGAATCTGAGCCAATGATGGAGAATATTGTTCCACTCTATTGAGGAATGTACTGCCTTGTAAAAGACATTTGAAATTAGTCTATGTGTAGCCCACTGCTTATCTTCTAGGTGCCCATCTTGATCTAACCAATCCAAGTGTCAGTGTGCAAAACAAAGACGCTCTGGACCAGTGGTTCCCAATCTTATGTCCCCTGATGTACTTGGACTACAACTCCCAGAAATCCTAGCCAGCACAGCTAGCAATGAAGGCTTCTGAGAGTTTTAGTCCAAGAACATCTGGAGACCTAAGGTTGGGAATAGAGATGGACACAAATAAAAAAAAGAATCACTAGATTCATTCAAAAATTGCTAATTTGTTGATTTATATTCAAATTTATATACAAATACAAATCAATGAAATTTTAGTGATTTTTGATTCATTGTTTACTTTGGCTATAAAATAGCTCCAAGGCACCTAAAGACACGAATCTGAGGGAAGCTTCATCTGACTCCTCTACAATCTCTCCAAGTTTGGTGATAATTTGGTTTCACCAAGCCAGCTGCTAAAGGGAACTTTCTGTGGGAGGACCCAAAGTGTATAACATGGATGCCTGAAACCCAATTGTCAGAAAACTTGGCAGGAATGTATAGGAAAGAGAGGAGAAGCTTCTCTGTGATTTTGGTGTCTCTAGGTGCCGGGGGGGACACTCACCTTTGGGGGGTACTCCTTGTAGGTGTATAAGTGGGGCATCTGAAACTCTAACTTCACCAAACTTGTAGGGCTTGCAGAGAAGAGTCATGGGAAGCTTCCCTGTGATTTTGGTGTATTTAGGTGCTGAGGGGGCATTTTATTAAGTTTTAAAGTAAAAAAAATGAATTGACAAATCAATTTGTTGATTCATCAGAAAAAAATTGTAAATTCATATTTCATGATCCATCAACCTTGAGGAATCATAAATCAAAACAAATCACAATTTTTTCTGATTCATGTCCATCTCTAGTTGGGAACCATTGCTACAGATGGCTCAGACAATCAGGCCAAGCAAATGAAAAGCAAACTTCCAGGACCATTGGCTACAGGCAGAAGGAGAGGAGAATGAAAAGGAAGATCTATTTGAAGATTAGCTCAGTTCGGCATGTTGATAACCCACATGGGAATTTTAATGTTTAAAATGGATCCTTCATGGGCTCTAGAAACACCCCTCAAAGTTCACATGATTAGTGTGCTACATTTAATAGGCTTACCATCGGGATTGCCTGCAGAACCTCCCCTGGTGGACATACAGTCTAGGAGGGATTTGTACTTATGAGAAAAACATGGATGTGCAGATCCCCTGAGAAGGATATATGAGCCTCTGTGTATACATGTGTATGAGTGCATAGCTTACACATTAGAATTTTAAATATGGAGTAAATTTCATGAACTGCTGACATGACTTGGAAAGTATCACACAGGAACAACTATAAGCCTGATTGCTACACCTGTCTAATTTCATCAGTATCGCTTGCAGCTAAGCTGCTGGCTAATCTTGTTTCTCTGAGTGTATGAATATCCTTCAGAGCAAGGATGGTTATTTTCTGAAATAGATATCCAACACCTTTTAAAATATTAATTCAAAATATTGTAGTGACAAGTCAAAGCACGAGAAAAACTCTAAAAAGCTAGATCTGACCACTCATGAGGAATCAAGGGAACCTGGGAAGGGGGGAGGTTTTTCAAGATCAGATTGTAACTGCATACAAAACAGTGAAAAGGCAGAACTTTAACACCTAAAATGAATGCAACAGTCACTCACAAACCTCTCTCTCTAACACTAAGGAGAAAGCTGTTTCTTTTTCTTATCCCTTTGTGTACATTAGCAATTGTCTGAGCACACACTAGAATTTCTTAGATGGAGCTGTTGTTTCTTCTCATCAAATGCTAAAGAAGAACATCCTTGTACTATGTCAATGGGAAAAACATAAACAAATTAAATACAGTGGTGCTTCGCTTAACGAGTGCCTCGTTTAGCGATGAATTTGCATAACGATGTGTTTTTTAAGAAAATAATATGCACCGTATAACGATGTTTCCTATGGGCGATTTTCGCTTAGCAAAGTTTGGGACCATGCTTCGCATAACGAATGCAATTTTAGGTCCCCTGCTTGACTTAACGATGTTTCTTTTTTCAATTTAAAAAGTGTCTTAGAAGGGTCAAAAACGGTTCTAAATGCTTGGATTCGTTAGAGGACCCCCTAAGTCATGTGCAAACCTGATTTGGCTTTGATCTGACTTTTCGTTAATTTATGGTGAATTTTTTTTTCGGCCCATAGGAACCAATGGACCTGTCAAAATCTGACAGCTCCATGCTTTCCTATGGGGGAGAAAACAATTCACCATAAATTAACGAAAGTTCAGATCAAAGCCAAATCAGGTTTGCACATGACTTAGGGGGTCCTCTAACGAATCCAAGCATTTAGAACCGTTTTTGACCCTTCTAAGACACTTTTTTAATTGAAAAAAGAAACATCGTTAAGTGAAGCAGGGGACCTAAAATCGCATTCGTTATGCGAAGCATGGTCCCAAACTTCGCTAAGCGAAAATCGCCCATAGGAAACATCGTTATACGGTGCATATTATTTTCTAAAAAAACACATCGTTATGC